GTAGCGTATAGTAGGGTTGGGAGCTCGTAGTCGCACTTTTGTCAGTCGACTGATTCTCGCTCCGCTGTCCTGTTGGGGTCTCCACTCTAGTCGCAGGCCGTTAGCATCCCTGTGCTGAGGTACACGACCTCCCATACCCAGTGCTGAGGTACACGACCTCCCATACCCAGTGCTGAGGTACACGACCTCTCATACCCAGTGCTGAGGTACACGACCTCCCATACCCAGTGCTGAGGTACACGACCTCCCATACCCCAGTGCTGAGGTACACGACCTCTCATACCCAGTGCTGAGGTACACGACCTCTCATACCCAGTGCTGAGGTACACGACCTCTCATACCCAGTGCTGAGGTACACGACCTCCCATACCCAGTGCTGAGGTACACGACCTCCCATACCCAGTGCTGAGGTACACGACCTCCCATACCCAGTGCTGAGGTACACGACCTCCCATACCCTGTGCTGAGGTACACGACCTCCCATACCCAGTGCTGAGGTACACGACCTACCATACCCTGTGCTGAGGTACACGACCTACCATACCCCAGTGCTGAGGTACACGACCTACCATACCCCAGTGCTGAGGTACACGACCTCCCATACCCAGTGCTGAGGTACACGACCTCCCATACCCTGTGCTGAGGTACACGACCTCCCATACCCCAGTGCTGAGGTACACGACCTACCATACCCCAGTGCTGAGGTACACGACCTCCCATACCCAGTGCTGAGGTACACGACCTCCCATACCCTGTGCTGAGGTACACGACCTCCCATACCCCAGTGCTGAGGTACACGACCTCCCATACCCCAGTGCTGAGGTACACGACCTCCCATACCCCAGTGCTGAGGTACACGACCTCTCATACCCAGTGCTGAGGTACACGACCTCCCATACCCTGTGCTGAGGTACACGACCTCCCATACCCTGTGCTGAGGTACACGACCTCCCATACCCCAGTGCTGAGGTACACGACCTACCATACCCCAGTGCTGAGGTACACGACCTCTCATACCCTGTGCTGAGGTACATGACCTAAAATACCCAGTGCTGAGGTACACGACCTACCATACCCTGTGCTGAGGTACATGACCTCCCATACCCTGTGCTGAGGTACACGACCTCTCATACCCAGTGCTGAGGTACACGACCTACCATACCCCAGTGCTGAGGTACACGACCTCTCATACCCAGTGCTGAGGTACATGACCTCCCATACCCTGTGCTGAGGTACACGACCTCTCATACCCAGTGCTGAGGTACACGACCTACCATACCCCAGTGCTGAGGTACACGACCTCTCATACCCAGTGCTGAGGTACATGACCTCCCATACCCTGTGCTGAGGTACACGACCTCCCATACCCAGTGCTGAGGTACACGACCTACCATACCCTGTGCTGAGGTACACGACCTACCATACCCAGTGCTGAGGTACACGACCTACCATACCCAGTGCTGAGGTACACGACCTACCATACCCAGTGCTGAGGTACACGACCTCCCATACCCTGTGCTGAGGTACATGACCTCCCATACCCAGTGCTGAGGTACACGACCTACCATACCCAGTGCTGAGGTACACGACCTACCATACCCTGTGCTGAGGTACACGACCTCCCATACCCAGTGCTGAGGTACACGACCTACCATACCCAGTGCTGAGGTACACGACCTCCCATACCCTGTGCTGAGGTACATGACCTCCCATACCCAGTGCTGAGGTACACGACCTACCATACCCAGTGCTGAGGTACACGACCTCCCATACCCTGTGCTGAGGTACACGACCTACCATACCCAGTGCTGAGGTACACGACCTACCATACCCAGTGCTGAGGTACACGACCTCCCATACCCAGTGCTGAGGTACACGACCTACCATACCCAGTGCTGAGGTACACGACCTACCATACCCTGTGCTGAGGTACACGACCTACCATACCCAGTGCTGAGGTACACGACCTACCATACCCTGTGCTGAGGTACACGACCTACCATACCCAGTGCTGAGGTACACGACCTACCATACCCAGTGCTGAGGTACACGACCTACCATACCCAGTGCTGAGGTACACGACCTACCATACCCAGTGCGTATCGTATCTACCTACCAAACGTACTTTCATGGCATTCAGAACATAATCACTGAAATTCAATGGCCTATGTACCACAGCCAGGGGCCAGATTCACGAAGAAGTTACGCAAACACTTACGAACCTGTCCATCTTTTCTCAATCTTTGGCGGCGAGTTTCACAATTATCAAACAGTTAATGAGCTCGGAAGCACCAGGAGGCTGTTTATAACAATAACAACAGTTGATTGGCAAGTTTTCATGCTTGTAAACTGTTAAATAAATGTAACCAAAGCCGTCAAAGATTGAGGAAAGATGTACGTGTTTGTAAGTGCTTGCGTAACTGCTTCGTAAATCTGGCCTCAGGTCTTGCGCACAGCTGACGCGCATGCGCATATCTTGCCCTGGAGCGCCTTCACTATCCGCGATGTAACATCCTCCTCCTCTTCCTCTTGTCGCCTACTGGCATGATGTTGTGCTTCCTCTGGCACTGCAGTCTTCTTATTTCGCTTCTTTATGCCCATGTGTAGATCTCTTGAAGCGTTGCTGCTCCTTTGTCACGGCATCCTTACTTGGGTGGGACTAGGGGAGGTGCGGTGTGGGTCACTGTGACCCCTGGACGCTGCCAAGTTATGCTCCCAGGTGCAGGACTCGTAACTTACCGAAGACTGTAAGTAAATTCTTGATCTCAGGTCCTCACTGTAAAAATGAATGGCTCTTCCCTGAAGAGCCATTCATTTCAAGGAAGAACTCTTCCCTAAGGGGCCGTAACTATCACTGCTTTGCACTGCGGCAGTTCACCGTCCGTTCTTCACTGCAAAGCCAACTGATGAACTAATGGCTTCTAAGTATTTCACTGCTTGACAGCCACTGTAACATACAGAAGAAGGCAGACCCTCTAGCACTACACTCCCTCCTTCACTGTAACTATACTTCACCATGAGAGTTACTGATTGCAGGCACTGTAACCGTCTCACTGCACTCCCTTGCCTCAGAAATACCAATCTTCCACTATACCGGGACTGTTATTACCGTTGTAGAAGCTTCCACAGTAGGGGGTGACGTAGTCCCACACTAGAAGGTGAAGGGACGACGACGTTTCGGTCCGTCCTGGACCATTCAATCGACTTGAGAATGGTCCAGGACGGACCGAAACGTCGTCGTCCCTTCACCTTCTAGTGTGTGGTCTGGTCATCATACTTTAGCCACGTTATTGTGACTCATCGCCTGCAGACGTAGTCTCACGTTTCCACTCTGTTCCAGATGGCGTTGTACAGTTGTTTTTATAAATTAAATTACCACTTGATACCGGATCTTCCACTTTCATGCTATTTTTTGGAGTGCCAAACATGTCCTCATACTGCTTTTTTAGGATTTCACTAATTTCTTTGTCATCCTCCGTGTATGAACCTTCACTCGTACGAATAGGTCCAATACTGGCAGTGGTTTGTGCTTTTGATTTAGCATATGTGAAGAAATATTTTGGGTTTTTATTTATTTCTTGAATTGCTTTCTGTTCTAGTTGCCTTTCTTCAATGTGATATGAACGCTTGAGTCTCTGCTCGATTTCTTCAACCTCTCTAATTAAATTATTCCTTCTTTGTATGGAAAGTCGTGTCTGCTTAAGCATTTCCGTTATTTTTTTCCTAATTGTAGTGTTGTCTGCGTTCTTTTTCTACGTTGGACCTCTTTCTGGCTTTCCTCAAAGGAACATGTTTCAGACAGACTATATGCTTCAGAAGTCAATTTTTCTATTCCTTGTGTAAAATTGTATTACTTAGTACAGTGTCCCATTGAATATTCGTAAGTTTATTTTCTCCCCAGGCTATCATCTTATTATTAGAATTGGATTGACTGATTAACCCCTCTAGCTTGATCATTGTTTTAGGTCTATTCTGAGTACTGATGGTAGTTTGCACTTCAATGAGCTTGTAATCTGAGTATGTGGTATCTGAGATCGTATTGTCTCCGATTATGTCTTCATTGTTTGTGAAGACCCAATCTAGAATGTTTTCGTTCCTAATTGGCTCTGATATCTGCTGGTTGAGTGAAAATTTGTCACAGACTAAACAGTTCTCTAATCTTTGTTAATTAGGTCCAGATAGATATCCTGGTACAATATTATTGTTTGCTATTCTCCATCTTAGACTAGGCAGGTTGAAGTCACCTAGGAAAATAATACCAGGTATTGGGTTTGCCAAATTATCAAGGTTATTCGCTATTTTGTTTATCTGTTCTGTGAATTCCTCAGCCGTTGCATCTGGCGGTTTGTATATCAGAATAATAACTATGTTTATTTTCTATATTTTTACTCCCAGTACCTCTACCACCTCAGTTGTAGAGTTAAGGAGCTCCGAGCATACAAGGTCTTCCCTAATATACAGACCCACTCCTCCATGTGACCTAATTACCTTATCACACCTGTATAGATTATATCCTGGTATCCAGATCTCACTGTCCAAGAATTCACCTGCATGGGAGTCTGTGAAAGCTCCAAATACTGCATTTGACTCAATGAGGAGGCCATTTATGAATAGTATTTTGTTTTTTTACTCTTGTTTTGAGTCCTTGTATGTTGGCAAAGATGAATGAGGTTACTCTATTTGAGGTAGTTTGACTGAGAGGCTTCTCTGGCAGGTCCATTATGCGTGGACATAACGGGTTTGTTCTGACCAGTGCTGTTTGTTGAAGGTTACTGCGTCGAACTCCTTCCTCTTCGGAAAATCTCACGTCGCCGCCATCTTTCCGTCCAACTAATACGTTACTCATTGACGCATAAAGTGCCCCAAAACATGCCTCTTCTCTTATATGCAACCCGTCCTCATAATAGAACGTCGTATTTTGACGTAGACTCTACCAAAGGCCAAAAATGGTCGTACTTGCAAATGGCAGCGGCTCGCGAAAGTGACATACACAAAGGTTAATGTCGTTTTCTGTTTTGGGTTCTCTGGTAGGCTATAAAATGGGTACATTAGTACGACAGTTTCTTGACGTTGGGGAACCTTAGGAGAACGGCGTCTTGGTTTATGTTACAGGTCATGCCATACGTCTGGTGGCATTCACCTTACTGGGCAGTGACAAGACAGTGACAGGACAGTGACAAAACAGAGACAAGACAGTGACAGGACAGTAACAGGATGACAAAACATTGACTAACGTCAACAGGACATTAACAGAACATTTGAGGCAATAACTGTGCAATAAAGAATTTGTTACAGTAGGTAAATACTGCAACATTTTAAGCTCTTTATAATGTGATATGTTTTAGAGGCGCGTCAATTAAAAATAATCATAAAACTATGTTTTGCTTCAAATTAATTTTAAACATTTATAATTATTTTTCCAGTCAATTATTGTTCATAAATTATACGAAAAATTATAGTTATTTATATATATATATATATATATATATATATATATATATATATATATATATATATATATATATATATATATATATATACACACACATAAGACTTGAGGAAACTGCAGAAGACATATGGCTCATACGAGGCAGAATCTATTTATATTCACCCAAACTCATTCATATATATGTATAACCTACAATGGAAACAATCAACTCGTCCCACGTGTATTATGTTAACTGGTAATGTGTTCCAGAGATCAGCCACCCGGGTTATAATAGATGTTAACAGTTGGGAAACTTTTATGCTATTGGTTGTACTAAACATGTAGGTGGTGGTTGTTGTGCCTCGTAGCCGCCACCCGCCCTCAGGAAGGTCCCGCCCTCAGGAAGGTCCTGCCCTCAGGAAGGTCCCGCCCTCAGGAAGGTCCCGCCCTCAGGAAGGTCCCGCCCTCAGGAAGGTCCCGCCCTCAGGGATTTCCTGCCCTCAGGAAGGTCCTGCCCTTAGGAAGGTCCTGCCCTCAGGAAGGTCCCGCCCTCAGGAAGGTCCTGCCCTCAGGAAGGTCCCGCCCTCAGGAAGGTCCTGCCCTCAGGAAGGTCCTGCCCTCAGGAAGGTCCTGCCCTCAAGAAGGTCCTGCCCTCAGGGAGGTCCTGCCCTCAGGGAGGTCCTGCCCTCAGGAAGGTCCTGCCCTCAGGAAGGTCCTGCCCTCAGGAAGGTCCTGCCCTCAGGGAGGTCCTGCCCTCAGGAAGGTCCGCCCTCAGGAAGGTCCTGCCCTCAGGGAGGTCCTGCCCTCAGGAAGGTCCCGCCCTCAGGAAGGTCCTGCCCTCAGGGAGGTCCTGCCCTCAGGAAGGTCCTGCCCTCAGGGAGGTCCTGCCCTCAGGAAGGTCCCGCCCTCAGGAAGGTCCCGCCCTCAGGGAGGTCCTGCCCTCAGGAAGGTCCTGCCCTCAGGGAGGTCCTGCCCTCAGGAAGGTCCTGCCCTTAGGAAGGTCCTGCCCTCAGGAAGGTCCCGCCCTCAGGAAGGTCCTGCCCTCAGGAAGGTCCTGCCCTCAGGAAGGTCCTGCCCTCAGGAAGGTCCTGCCCTCAGGAAGGTCCTGCCCTCAGGGAGGTCCTGCCCTCAGGGAGGTCCTGCCCTCAGGAAGGTCCTGCCCTCAGGAAGGTCCTGCCCTCAGGGAGGTCCTGCCCTCAGGAAGGTCCTGCCCTCAGGGAGGTCCTGCCCTCAGGAAGGTCCTGCCCTCAGGGAGGTCCTGCCCTCAGGAAGGTCCTGCCCTTAGGAAGGTCCTGCCCTCAGGAAGGTCCCGCCCTCAGGAAGGTCCTGCCCTCAGGAAGGTCCTGCCCTCAGGAATGTCCTGCCCTCAGGAAGGTCCTGCCCTCAGGGAGGTCCTGCCCTCAGGAAGGTCCTGCCCTCAGGAAGGTCCTGCCCTCAGGAAGGTCCTGCCCTCAGGAAGGTCCTGCCCTCAGGGAGGTCCTGCCCTCAGGAAGGTCCCGCCCTCAGGAAGGTCCCGCCCTCAGGGAGGTCCTGCCCTCAGGAAGGTCCTGCCCTCAGGGAGGTCCTGCCCTCAGGAAGGTCCTGCCCTTAGGAAGGTCCTGCCCTCAGGAAGGTCCCGCCCTCAGGAAGGTCCTGCCCTCAGGAAGGTCCTGCCCTCAGGAAGGTCCTGCCCTCAGGAAGGTCCTGCCCTCAGGAAGGTCCTGCCCTCAGGGAGGTCCTGCCCTCAGGGAGGTCCTGCCCTCAGGAAGGTCCTGCCCTCAGGAAGGTCCTGCCCTCAGGAAGGTCCTGCCCTCAGGGAGGTCCTGCCCTCAGGAAGGTCCTGCCCTTAGGAAGGTCCTGCCCTCAGGAAGGTCCCGCCCTCAGGAAGGTCCTGCCCTCAGGAAGGTCCTGCCCTCAGGAAGGTCCTGCCCTCAGGAATGTCCTGCCCTCAGGAAGGTCCTGCCCTCAGGGAGGTCCTGCCCTCAGGAAGGTCCTGCCCTCAGGAAGGTCCTGCCCTCAGGAAGGTCCTGCCCTCTGGAAGGTCCTGCCCTCAGGAAGGTCCTGCCCTCAGGGAGGTCCTGCCCTCAGGAAGGTCCCGCCCTCAGGAAGGTCCCGCCCTCAGGGAGGTCCTGCCCTCAGGAAGGTCCCGCCCTCAGGAAGGTCCCGCCCTCAGGGAGGTCCTGCCCTCAGGAAGGTCCTGCCCTCAGGGAGGTCCTGCCCTCAGGAAGGTCCTGCCCTTAGGAAGGTCCTGCCCTCAGGAAGGTCCCGCCCTCAGGAAGGTCCTGCCCTCAGGAAGGTCCTGCCCTCAGGAAGGTCCTGCCCTCAGGAAGGTCCTGCCCTCAGGGAGGTCCTGCCCTCAGGGAGGTCCTGCTCTCAGGAAGGTCCTGCCCTCAGGAAGGTCCTGCCCTCAGGAAGGTCCTGCCCTCAGGAAGGTCCTGCCCTCAGGAAGGTCCTGCCCTCAGGAAGGTCCCGCCCTCAGGAAGGTCCTGCCCTCAGGAAGGTCCTGCCCTCAGGAAGGTCCTGCCCTCAGGAATGTCCTGCCCTCAGGAAGGTCCTGCCCTCAGGGAGGTCCTGCCCTCAGGAAGGTCCTGCCCTCAGGAAGGTCCTGCCCTCAGGAAGGTCCTGCCCTCAGGAAGGTCCTGCCCTCAGGAAGGTCCTGCCCTCAGGGAGGTCCTGCCCTCAGGAAGGTCCCGCCCTCAGGAAGGTCCCGCCCTCAGGGAGGTCCTGCCCTCAGGAAGGTCCTGCCCTCAGGGAGGTCCTGCCCTCAGGAAGGTCCTGCCCTTAGGAAGGTCCTGCCCTCAGGAAGGTCCCGCCCTCAGGAAGGTCCTGCCCTCAGGAAGGTCCTGCCCTCAGGAAGGTCCTGCCCTCAGGAAGGTCCTGCCCTCAGGAAGGTCCTGCCCTCAGGGAGGTCCTGCCCTCAGGGAGGTCCTGCCCTCAGGAAGGTCCTGCCCTCAGGAAGGTCCTGCCCTCAGGAAGGTCCTGCCCTCAGGGAGGTCCTGCCCTCAGGAAGGTCCTGCCCTCAGGGAGGTCCTGCCCTCAGGAAGGTCCTGCCCTCAGGGAGGTCCTGCCCTCAGGAAGGTCCTGCCCTTAGGAAGGTCCTGCCCTCAGGAAGGTCCCGCCCTCAGGAAGGTCCTGCCCTCAGGAAGGTCCTGCCCTCAGGAAGGTCCTGCCCTCAGGAATGTCCTGCCCTCAGGAAGGTCCTGTCCTCAGGGAGGTCCTGCCCTCAGGAAGGTCCTGCCCTCAGGAAGGTCCTGCCCTCAGGAAGGTCCTGCCCTCAGGAAGGTCCTGCCCTCAGGGAGGTCCTGCCCTCAGGAAGGTCCTGCCCTCAGGAAGGTCCCCCCCTCAGGAAGGTCCCGCCCTCAGGAAGGTCCTGCCCTCAGGAAGGTCCTGCCCTCAGGAAGGTCCTGCCCTCAGGAAGGTCCTGCCCTCAGGGAGGTCCTGCCCTCAGGGAGGTCCTGCCCTCAGGAAGGTCCTGCCCTCAGGAAGGTCCTGCCCTCAGGAAGGTCCTGCCCTCAGGGAGGTCCTGCCCTCAGGAAGGTCCTGCCCTCAGGGAGGTCCTGCCCTCAGGAAGGTCCTGCCCTCAGGAAGGTCCCGCCCTCAGGAAGGTCCTGCCCTCAGGAAGGTCCTGCCCTTCAGAGCTGCCTGGAGAACTGTAGGGTGGAAGTGGCACTATAAGTTAGCCCATCTACGAGTGCCATTTGGCGGCTGCCAAAATCATCCGGACAACCTCAGGCACTTGACGGCGGCCAATGGCCCTGGAGCATCCGGCCTCAGGGCAGCTATAGAGCCAGTTACCAACAGCATCTTCAGCCGGTAACTTGTATATTAGGGCTCGTGTTAAGCCTTGCGGTCAGGGGATACATTAATGTGTGCGCACGGGTAAAACGGTGTCAGGTGATTTGAATGTGATCGGTAGTTATGGTCCTCTGCATTGTTTACATGCTGGCCATTGAGGAGTGAATTCAGTTGGGAAAAGTAATCCGCTGAACTTGCAACAATGGATTATTGCGTTACGCGAATAGAAACATCAGCCTTGCAACTATGTGATTTACAATGCAATATGGAATTAATAATTGAGAGAATTTATACATTAATGATTATGTTGTATTGAGCCGGCACACCTAAGGTCATCTTCCCAACTTCTTTTGGCTCCTCCTACCATCTCTCCGTGTCTTCTTCCGTCTCTCCGTGTCTCCTTCTATCCCACCCCTTCTTCTCTCCTCCCTCCCTTTCTGTTTCTAACTGCCATTTTTTGACATGATTTAGTAGAGGGAGTTGATTGTGGCAGGTGGCCTACTCCAGCCTCCTCCCCACCTAACACTAGTCCCCGGGACGCTGGCCAGGCAGCTACCACTTGGCAGCACCACCAGCAGCAGCAGCCCTGACAGGGCCAGGTTGGCAGGCAGGTGCGTCGGCCAATCAATTATACGACCCTGGGAGCATGGTGTGTGTCCCTCACCGTGTGCTGGGTCTTCCCTTCCTCCTCCTCGGGGCACACCTTCCTCCTCTCTCTCTTCCCCAAACTCTTCAACCTCTGATACTTTTCATCTTCGCCCTCTGGGTCACCACCCCCCTCTGGGTCGCGTTCCCCATCTGGGTCACCTTCGGTCTCTGTTGAGATAAGAAAAGTTTTATGTCTTATTTCCGAATCGTTCTCATTTTAGAAGACGAGAAGTTGACCCAGGATGATTCTGTACACTCTTGGGGATAATTATTTGGATTGGTAGAAAAAAAGATGAAGGTACATTATTCACACTTTATTATTATTATTATATTTAATTCTAATCATTATTTATATCTAAATATCTTTACTATGTTAATTGCTATTATTGATATCTAAATATTATCTCTATATTTCTTGTTTCTTAACAATTGTTTATTTCTAGTTATTAATTTATTATTAGTAGAAACATTTCATATCTGTCTTGCATTTTTTTATTGTTTCCCCTAACAATGATCGTCCGGACATATCAGTTGTCCAGGAAACATTTCTGGACAATTGGGCTCTTGAGAACGTTCCAAAGTTTCCCGGTAATATCTTATGGTCGCACGGTGAGAGGCGGAGCCCAGGAGGCGGAGATGCCTCACAAAATCAATACATGTCCAGCCTTGTTGATGCTTTCATGTCAGTTTATGTATAAATCATCGTCTTCAATGAATGCTTGAATCAGTGAATCATGCATTGAATCATTGAACTGTGCTTGAATCTCACAAAGATCATTGTGTTGTGTGCAGCGTACAGGCCTGTTTTCATATATCCAAACATTAAAACATTGATTGTAACCATGATATATATGTGCTTCCGCCTACAGTTTAGACCTATTGTCTTATGTATGACCCTCTGTCCTGCGTGACAGTGAATACCAGCATTATCCTCACTTCAGTAAGACTATCAAAATCCTCAGATTAGGCAAAATTGTAATTAATTTTGTCAATAAAGGCCCTTACCCGCCAAACACACACCGAAACTACGACGTTGGTACAACGTTCGAACAAGTTTTAACACTTCCTAACCAGTTATAACAACCAATATAGCAAGTTGTAACAACGTTCTAATACGTCATAAACACGTTAAGCCAAGATGTAACAACTTTATTACCAGTTGTAACAAGCAGAAAATAGAGACAGTTTCGGTTTGTGTTTCCAGGGTAGTTGTCGAGGGTCTGTCCAGTCAGCTTCGTAATGGGCAGTCTTGTCTCCCTGTTAATGCATCATAACTGTCAGCTCTCTGTAATTGTGGAAGACATCAACTAGTTTCTCATTCAGATGGATTTAAATGACGTTTACGAAGCTTTTAACGTGGGAAGTTACGAGTCTCCCCCTGACTCATATCTCAGCGTCTCTCCTTGGTCATCCTGTCATAACTGACTTGCCTGAAAATACACTTAGGAATATTATTATTTCAGGATTATATATTATTAATATATATTAATATATATTATATTAGGTATGTTGACTGGTAATACCAGCATGCACTTGTCCTCAGAGTTAGGGGGGCAACTGAGAGGAATGACTTGGTCCAAGGGGGACATGAACATCCAAGCAGATGCCTTCATTAACATCGTACAGGATCTTCAGCACAAGTACAGTTCTAACATTTCCTATGTGGCCAGAAAATACAACAGAATACAGCGCCTGCAGCAGTGGATAGAACGAAAACGCAAGCATGCAGGAAAATCCCTAAATATACTCCTTGAATGCAGGGAAATACAAACCTATTAAGAATAATTATTACGAAGCATAATTTTCTATGATTCAGTGTTTAGTTATCAAGAAAATTGCAGAGTTTTTTGTCATCAAATTTATTATAGTAACGCAGTTTATGCTGGACCATTCTCACAAACGACTTGAGAATGATCGGGACCCGCGGTGATAGAACGGATTAGTTGCTTTATGAGAACACCATTACAACTGACGTACAAAAACACGTCTCATTGTTGACCAGACCACACACTAGAAATTGAAGGGACGACGACGTTTCGGTCCGTCCTGGACTATTCTCAAGTCGATTTGAGTGGTCCAGGACGGACCGAAACGTCGTCGTCCCTTCACTTTCTCGTGTGTGGTCTGGTCAATATATTTCAGCCTCGTTATTATGACTCCTCGTCTGCTTATTTATGGTATATTTGATATAATTGGTTCTCGTGTGCTTTCAGGCACGTGTTCGGTCACTTAACAATATAACGAGACAAGGTAGACATGTAGAAAGGTATATTATGGGTAATTAATAATGTGTATGGACACCGGCAACAAAATCTATTCGTTTCCGGCATCCGAACATCAAGCAGCCCGTCCTAATAAGATTTACCAACGTCAAAAACCCGTCGTACTAAAGTGTCCTTATCCTAAGCCACCAGAGGACACAAAACAGAAAACGGGACAGTATGTCAATTTCGCGAGCCGCGACCATTTTCTAATACGATAATTTTTTACCTTACGTAGAGTGTACGTCAAAAAGCGACGTTGTATTAGGATGACGGGTTGTTCCAACACCACGGATCTCTAAACCAATGACAAATATCTTTAAAACCGGCCAATTGCTGCCTTGCATATTAAAGTCGCAACTTAATAGTGGAAAGCTAATGGTAAAAAGATCACTTTTAAGGAGTCGAAAATTTAGATGTTAAAGTACGAAGGTGTAATGTCAAACGCCGGAGGCCAGGGTCTAGATTCACGAAGCAGTTACGCAATCACTTACGAACCTGTACATCTTTTCTCAATCTTTGGCGGCTTTGTTTACAATTATTAAACAGTTAATAAGCTCCGAAGCACCAGGAGGCTGTTTATAACAATACCAACAGTTGATTGGCAAGTTTTCATGCTTGTAAACTGTTTAATAAATGTAACCAAAGCCGTCAAAGATTGAGGAAAGATGTACACGTTCCTAAGAACTTGCGTAAGTGCTTTTGTGAATCTGGCCGCAGATGTCTAAGGGTCAAAAGTCATTTGTCAAACAACAGTTCAGATAGTGGTCGAGAAGCGAGAAGCTGGCTGATAAATGTTCAAAAGTTCAAACTAGAAGGTGTCAACAGTGTCGGTGAAGCCGAGCTTTGGTGCTTCCTCTCTCTCTTGACACTTGGCTTGTGTTGGTGCGTCTTATTGCTGGTCTTCTTGGCCTCTTCTATGTCTTCATCTTCGTCTCCTCTTCTTGTTGACCGCGGGGAGTTGTTGGCATGTGTCCGCTACGGCTTGAAGTCTTGATTTGTCCGCTACGGCTTGAAGTCTTGATTTGCCCGCTACGGCTTGAAGTCTTGATTTGTCCGCTACGGCTTGAAGTCTTGATTTGTCCACTATAGCTTGAAGTCTTGATTTGTCCGCTACGGCTTGAAGTCTTGATTTGTCCGCTACGGCTTGAAGTCTTGGTTTGTCCGCTACGGCTTGAAGTCTTGATTTGTTCACTATAGCTTGAAGTCTTGATTTGTCCACTATAGCTTGAAGTCTTGATTTGTCCGCTACGGCTTGAAGTCTTGATTTGTCCGCTACGGCTTGAAGTCTTGATTTGTCCACTATAGCTTCAATTCTGTATTTGTAGCTATACGGGATACATGTATCCTGTGTAGCTACACCACTGGGAACATGTATCCTGTGTAGCTACACCACTGGGAACATGTATCCTGTGTAGCTACACCACTGGGATACATGTATCCTGTGTAGCTACACCACTGGGAACATGTATCCTGTGTAGCTACACCACTGGGAACATGTATCCTGTGTAGCTACACCACTGGGATACATGTATCCTGTGTAGCTACACCACTGGGAACATGTATCCTGTGTAGCTACACCACTGGGAACATGTATCCTGTGTAGCTACACCACTGGGATACATGTATCCTGTGTAGCTTCACCACTGGGAAACATGTATCCTGTGTAGCTACACCACTGGGAAACGTATCCTGTGTAGCTACACCACTGGGAAACATGTATCCTGTGTAGCTACACCACTGGGAAACGTATCCTGTGTAGCTACACCACTGGGAAACATGTATCCTGTGTAGCTACACCACTGGGAAACATGTATCCTGTGTAGCTACACCACTGGGAACATGTATCCTGTGTAGCTACACCACTGGGAACATGTATCCTGTGTAGCTACACAGGAAACATGTATCCTGTGTAGCTACACAGGAAACATGTATCCTGTGTTGCTACACCACTGGGAAACATGTATCCTGTGTAGCTACACCACTGGGAAACATGTATCCTGTGTAGATACATGGGATACATGTACCCTGTGTAGCTACATGGGATACATGTATCCTGTGTAGCTACACCACTGGGAAACATGTATCCTGTATTGCAGAGGAACTCGCACGCTTCATGTGTCTCTGGCCACCATGATCGTCACTCATGTGTCATGACCAGCGATGTAGTGTCCGGTCCTGTGTAATATGTGTCCAGATGGAATGTGTCCATGTCTGGGCTTGGTGATTGGTGGTCATCCTAATTACCGAACAGCAGCAGCCTTGTAGCGGGGATCCACATCCACACCTCTCAAGAGCATCTCATCCACACCTCTCAAGAGCATCTCATCCACACCTCTCAAGAGCATCTCATCCACACCGTCAAGAGCATCTCATCCACATCTCTCAAGAGCATCTCATTCATACCTTCAAGAGCATCTCATCCACACCTTCAAGAGCATCTCATCCACACCTCTCAAGAGCATCTCATCCACACCTCTCAAGAGCATCTCATCCACACCTCTCAAGAGCATCTCATCCACACCTCTCAAGAGCATCTCATCCACACCTCTCAAGAGCATCTCATCCACACCTTCAAGAGCATCTCATCCACACCTTCAAGAGCATCTCATCCACACCTTCAAGAGCATCTCATCCACACCTTCAAGAGCATCTCATCCACACCTCTCAAGAGCATCTCATCCACACCTCTCAAGAGCATCTCATCCACACCTCTCAAGAGCATCTCATCCACACCTTCAAGAGCATCTCACCCACACCTCTCAAGAGCATCTCATCCACACCTCTCAAGAGCATCTCATCCACACCTCTCAAGAGCATCTCATCCACACCTCTCAAGAGCATCTCATCCACACCGTCAAGAGCATCTCATCCACACCGTCAAGAGCATCTCATCCACATCTCTCAAGAGCATCTCATCCACACCTTCAAGAGCATCTCATCCACACCTTCAAGAGCATCTCATCCACACCTTCAAGAGCATCTCATCCACACCTCTCAAGAGCATCTCATCCACACCTTCAAGAGCATCTCATCCACACCTCTCAAGAGCATCTCATCCACACCTTCAAGAGCATCTTATCCACACCAGCAACCCGTCCTCGACTCAAGTCCATTCCATCCAGCGGTCGACCCCACAGACGCATTCAGAAATTTTTTACATGCTGTTCAATAAAAATGGGAAATTTCTCAAATATAAATTCAAATTATAATATATTAGCATATTGTGCATATGTAGGTGAGGTTAGGTTAGGTGTTTAGGTTCTGTTGGCGATTATTTGTGTTTGTAGTACGTAGGTGAAGCATTTACAGCGTTGTGGTTCGAACACAAGTCGTCAGTGAAGCACTTGTTCCGGAAGTGTTCGAATGTCATCAGTTGTGAGTCGTGTGTAAACCGTTTTTCATTCATAAACAGCGGGTTTGGCGGGTGGATGGAATAGACTTTGGGTCTTTGGAGGACGGGCTGGACCGTGGGTAAAGATTCAGTTCGAAGTGTTGTCTAGGACGCTCCGAAATCGGGCACCTCTTCCGACGCAGCAGCGAGTTCCTTCGCTGTGTCATTGGTGCTGTGTCATAGGTGCTGTGTCATAAATGCTGTCATAAGTGCTGTGTCGTAGGTGCTGTGTCATAAGTGCTGTGTCATAGGGGCTGTGTCGTAGGTGCTGTGTCATAAGTGCTGTGTCGTAGGTGCTGTGTCATAAGTGCTGTGTCATAAGTGCTGTGTCATAAGTGCTGTGTCATAAGTGCTGTGTCGTAGGTGCTGTGTCATAAGTGCTGTGTCGTAGGTGCTGTGTCATAAGTGCTGTGTCGTAGGTGCTGTGTCATAAGTGCTGTGTCATAGGTGCTGTGTCATAAGTGCTGTGTCATAAGTGCTGTGTCATAGGGGATGTGTCATAAGTGCTGTGTCATAAGTGCTGTGTCGTAGGTGCTGTGTCATAAGTGCTGTGTCATAGGTGCTGTGTCATAAGTGCTGTGTCATAAGTGCTGTGTCGTAGGTGCTGTGTCGTAGGTGCTGTGTCGTAGGTGCTGTGTCGTAGGTGCTGTGTCATAAGAGCTGTGTCGTAGGTGCTGTGTCATAAGAGCTGTGTCGTAGGTGCTGTGTCGTAGGTGCTGTGTCGTAGGTGCTGTGTCGTAGATGCTGTGTCGTAGGTGCTGTGTCACAAGTGCTGTGTCATAAGTGCTGTGTCGTAGGTGGTGTGTCGTAGGTGCTGTGTCATAAGTGCTGTGTCGTAGGTGCTGTGTCATAAGAGCTGTGTCGTAGGTGCTGTGTCGTAGGTGCTGTGTCGTAGGTGCTGTGTCGTAGGTGCTGTGTCATAAGTGCTGTGTCACAAGTGCTGTGCCAAAAGTGCTGTGTCATAGGTACTGTGTCATAGGTGCTGTGTCACAAGTGCTGTGTCATAAGTGCTGTGTCGTAGGTGCTGTGTCATAAGTGGTGTGTCATAAGCGCTGTGTCATAGACGCCTATAATGCGTGACACATTTAAGAAACGGATGGGTAGGTGTTTGTTCATATATGTCAAACATATATGAACAATTTGTTGGTACATTTGGTACTGGATATGAGAGTTGTGAGGTATGCAGAAGCAGCGTAGGAGAATGTACTAGTTATGGTACTAGCAGATTAATGAAATATTAATCTATAATCTTCCCATACCCCCTCTCTGTCTGTCTCTCTCTCTCTCTCTCTCTCTCTCTCTCTCTCTCTCTCTCTCTCTCTCTCTCTCTCTCTCTCTCTCTCTCTCTCTCTCTCTCTCTCTCTCTCTCTCTCTCTCTCTCTCTCTCTCTCTCTCTCTCTCTCTCTCTCTCTCTGGGGCAGCTGTGGTGGGGTTCGTTAGCCGTGTGCGTGAGTGGTAACCTAACCACTTTATACAGGTCATGGTCAAGACAGGAATTGATTGCTAGACATTGAGTGATTGGTTGCTACACATCTGGTGATTGATTAATCCTCGGTGGTGAGTGATAGACCTCAGGAGTCGATTGTTAATCCTGTTAGTTAATGATAGATGATCCCACGAGTCGAATTGAGGTCTTAGTGATAATGGGTGATAAATCCCCCTTATAAATCCAGCACCAAAGCGGGGATTAATTACTGCAGTGGTGATTTAACACTATTGCTGACAGTTAATCCCCTCTACAGAGTAGCTGATCAACTAGGCTGTAGTGTCAACGTCGGACTGCGAACAGCAGGACCAACAGTTTATTTGATCAGATCATCAACCTGGATTGAAGGTCAAGCCGCAGGGGGATGGGTGGATGGGGCGCTGACCCCCCCCCCCTAGGAACCACCACAAGGTAACCACATGATTGATCTCTACGTCGACGGATGATTAATCACCTTGTGATGGTTATTGAGGACATTGATCAATGAGAGAGGTCATTGACCCCTGGTGATGGCTTTTTAGAGATGAATATACTCATGATGGTGAGTAATGAGTGTATTGGGCTGTAATGATGAGTGATAACTCACATAGGTAAGGCAGGTGACGTATAAACGTGAGTGAATGAGTAAACAACTCATTTGTAACTTTAACGACCTTTGGTGGTGAGTAAACTGTTTACCATTGTAGTGAGAGTTTACCACACTCACCTCGCGTTATGATTGGCTGTATGAGAGGGAACTCGGGCCGTGATTAGCCTGGTTTTGCTGTTTGATATATGATGGTGGGGAGTTTGGCGATTGATTGGGAGCTAATGGTGGCTGGCAAAATGATTGGTCGACTTGCAATTGGCGTAATTCGCAAGGGGTTAAGTGGTTAATCGACCAAGTGTCACCCACCTGGTCGAACCAGCTGTTTGGGTAACATTACTATCAGGCTGTTGACCAGACCACACACTAGAAGGTGAAGGGACGACGACGTTTCGGTCCGTCCTGGACCATTCTCAAGTCGATATCACTACTGTAAGTCGATATCAGGCTGTATGACTGAGTCAAATGAACAAAAAAATACAATAGTTGTATTAAATGAATATACAGTTCCCCACTACTACTGTATGAAGGCTTCATATTAGTGTATAAAGTTAACATTGTTAACATTGAGCTGTAACTTTGATAATATTTCAGCCTATTCTCCTAAGATGAAAGTACTTATAGTAACTATCTGGTCAAAAGTACCAATATGTAGTGATGGACCACCAGAAAGTACCAATATGTAGTGATGGACCACCAGAAAGTACCAATATGTAGTGATGGACCGCCAGAAAGTACCAATTTCTAGTGATGACCCACCAGAAAGCAGCAATATGTAATGATGGACCGCCAGAAAGCACCAATGAAGTGATGGACCACCAGAAAGTACCAATATGTAGTGATGGACCACCAGAAAGTACCAATATGTAGTGATGGACCACCAGAAAGTACCAATATGTGGTGATGGACCACCAGAAAGTACCAATATGTAGTGATGGACCACTAGAAAGTACCAATATGTGGTGATGGACCACCAGAAAGTACCAATATGTGGTGATGGACCACCAGAAAGTACCAATATGTAGTGATGGACCACCAGAAAGTACCAATATGTAGTGATGGACCACCAGAAAGTACCAATATGTAGTGATGGACCACCAGAAAGTACCAATATGTAGTGATGGACCACCAGAAAGTACCAATATGTAGTGATGGGCCACCAGAAAGTACCAATATGTAGTGATGGACCACCAGAAAGTACCAATATGTAGTGATGGGCCACCAGAAAGTACCAATATGCAGTGATGGACCACCAGAAAGTACCAATATGTAGTGATGGACCACCAGAAAGTACCAATATGTAGTGATGGACCACCAGAAAGTACCAATATGTAGTGATGGACCACCAGAAAGTACCAATATATAATAATGGACCACAAGAAAGTACCAATATGTAATGATGGACCACCAAAAAGTATCAATATGTAGTGATGGACCACCAGAAAGTACCAATATGCAGTGATGGACCACCAGAAAGTACCAATATGTAGTGATGGGCCACCAGAAAGTACCAATGTGTAGTGATGCACCACCAGAAAGTACCAATATGTAGTGATGGACCACCAGAAAGTACCAATATGTAGTGATGGACCACCAGAAAGTACCAATATGTAGTGATGGGCCACCAGAAAGCACCAATATGTAGTGATGGACCACCAGAAAGTACCAATTTCTAGTGATGAACCACCTGAAAGCAGCAATATGTAATGATGGACCGCCAGAAAGCACCAATATGTAGTGATGGACCACCAGAAAGTACCAATATGTAGTGATGGACCACCAGAAAGTACCAATATGTAGTGATGGACCACCAGAAAGTACCAATATGTAGTGATGGACCACCAGAAAGTACCAATATGTAGTGATGGGCCACCAGAAAGTACCAATATGCAGTGATGGACCACCAGAAAGTACCAATATGTAGTGATGGGCCACCAGAAAGTACCAATATGTAGTGATGGACCACCAGAAAGTACCAATATGTAGTGATGGGCCACCAGAAAGTACCAATATGCAGTGATGGACCACCAGAAAGTACCAATATGTAGTGATGGGCCACCAGAAAGTACCAATATGTAGTGATGGACCACCAGAAAGTACCAATATGTAGTGATGGACCACCAGAAAGTACCAATATGTAATAATGGACCACAAGAAAGTACCAATATGTAATGATGGACCACCAAAAAGTATCAATATGTAGTGATGGACCACCAGAAAGTATCAATATGCAGTGATGGACCACCAGAAAGTACCAATATGTAGTGATGGGCCACCAGAAAGTACCAATATGTAGTGATGCACCACCAGAAAGTACCAATATGTAGAGATGCACCACCAGAAAGTACCAATATGTAGTGATGGACCACCAGAAAGTACCAATATGTAGTGATGGGCCACCAGAAAGTACCAATATGTAGTGATGCACCACCAGAAAGTACCAATATGTAGTGATGGACCACCAGAAAGTGCCAATATGTAGTGATGGACCACCAGAAAGTACCAATATGTAGTGATGGGCCACCAGAAAGCACCAATATGTAGTGATGGACCACCAGAAAGTACCAATTTCTAGTGATGAACCACCTGAAAGCAGCAATATATGTTGATGATGGACCGCCAGAAAGCACCAATATGTAGTGATGGACCACCAGAAAGTACCAATATGTAGTGATGATGGACCACCAGAAAGTACCTGAACCAGAAAGCAATATGTAGTGATGGACCGCCAGAAAACACCAATATGTAGTGATGGACCACCAGAAAGTACCAATATGTAGTGATGGACCACCAGAAAGTACCAATATGTAGTGATGGACCACCAGAAAGTACAAATATGTAGTGATGGACCACCAGAAAGTACCAATATGTAGTGATGGGCCACCAGAAAGTACCAATATGCAGTGATGGACCACCAGAAAGTACCAATATGTAGTGATGGACCACCAGAAAGTACCAATATGTAGTGATGGACCACCAGAAAGTACCAATATGTAGTGATGGACCACCAGAAAGTACCAATATGTAGTGATGGACCACCAGAAAGTACCAATATGTAGTGATGGACCACCAGAAAGTACCAATATGTAGTGATGGACCACCAGAAAGTACCAATATGTAGTGATGGACCACCAGAAAGTACCAATATGTAGTGATGGACCACCAGAAAGTACCAATATGTAGTGATGGACCACCAGAAAGTACCAATATGTAGTGATGGACCACCAGAAAGTACCAATATGTAGTGATGGACCACCAGAAAGTACCAATATGTAGTGATGGACCACCAGAAAGTACCAATATGTAGTGATGGACCACCAGAAAGTACCAATATGTAGTGATGGACCACCAGAAAGTACCAATATGTAGTGATGGACCACCAGAAAGTACCAATATGTAGTGATGGACCACCAGAAAGTACCAATATGTAGTGATGGACCACCAGAAAGTACCAATATGTAGTGATGGACCACCAGAAAGTACCAATATGTAGTGATGGAC